TATATTATGAGAATGGGCAGGTTGTTATGCAACTGTTGTCTGACTCGGGCGTTTATATCCAATCGATTTATTGTAATAGGATAAAAAATCATGGAGAACATACTCTTCATTGGTTACAATCATTTGATTTAAGATCTATGAAACTGATGGATGATGATAAATTCCATATCTTATTGGATAAGGCGGTACAAGAAGGAGCTGAAGCCGTCTATGAGCTTGCAAAGATTTTTACCATACGAGTAGTTTTTGTGGACTACTGGAGTACGAATACACCGGTTACAGATTACAATTGTTGGATAGAGATACGATTATGTAGACAGATGAACTGGTTAGACAACGCTTTGCGCCAAATGGGAGCTCCTTGCGTATAAACTCCATTAGTGACATGTTTTTAACAATGTACGTAGCTTCAATTTTATAATAAAAGTTTTATTATAATGTTTCCTTTCTGGAATTACATTTTTTTTTGTGTGGTGACTGGTGCTATTATTAGCCAAAAGAAAAAATAATGAGAAGAAAACTAATGCAAATAAAATTTGTAAACAACGTGGAGAGACGCCAATCTCGAACATAAATCCTGAAAATTGTGATCCATTATCTGACACAACTATTTGCGGAAAACCTAATCTACCAAAAATATTCTTCAAGTGTTAAATCGCAGTATCAGCTGTAATAAATAATAAATTTTTCTTTCCTTAATTCGTATAAATCGCAACCTATTTTCTGCCATGGAAATTTTGGAACAGTAGGCGGTATTAACGGTTCCCTAAAATTATTCCTGCAATACTTCTGACAAGCTTCACATGACATGACTTTATTTTCTATGTCGCGATACATACCTAGCCAAAAGTAATTGCCTGGCTTTTAAGAAACATTTGCTGATCCCTAATTGACTCACATGAATAATATATAACATATTTTTCTCTAAGGATCGTGGTACTACTAAGCAATTTCCTTTATAAATCAAATCGTGCAAGAAAAATACTTAAAATGGACATTGGGATTGGAAAAGTATACGCTGGGGTATATAATGAGAGAAGAAACAAAAAGAGAGAAAATGAGAGTGGAAGGGGGTAAAAGGGCGGTTGGATTTAAACTGAAGTTTAGTGAGAGAGGTGATTGTGAGATATTGAAAGAAAGTTGAAAAAAAAATAAGAAAGGAAGGGGGAAAACATGTTCGGAACGAAAGAGACAAGTATTATGAAGGAAAGAAATATACATGTGAAGAAATAGGGAGAATGAGAGAAATGGGAAGGAGCATGAAAGAAGAACCGAGTGTAAGAGATAAGGATATAGATAAGCAAGAACGCAGATCGAGAATATCGGAGTCTAGATATAATGCAACGCATACATAGAAAAATAATAAAGGAAGAAGTACCAAAGTATAGAAACACAAAGAGAGAAAGTATAAGGGGGAAAAGAATGATGGCGAGATTTAGGTGTGGGAAAGAGAAAGAGAATAATTTTTGGATGGATGAAACTGACAGAAGGTGTAGGATATGTTGGAGAGAGGGAGAAACAATAGCGCATATGCTGGAAGGATGTGAAGGATTGAGAGAATCGAAGGAAAGTTCTCGATACGCAGGGAGTCCCACTGAGCCCATAACGCCTTGAAAGAGTTTGACTCGTTTGATATTACCGACCAAGCTGGCCGTTCTGCCCCAACTTCTTTCCATTTGAGCAACGGTCCGATATCCACGTCGTCTTCTTGATCTTTTCTAAGCTAAGCTGTAGTCCATTCTTTATCTTCGGTGACTGCTCTCCTCCCACATTTGAATGACGTTTCACGCTGCTCGATCTTGTCGCAGGGTTTGAAGTTCTTACATGGTCTTCTCGACGAAGAGTCCGCATTATTGTGGAGCTTACCAGCCCTGTGTCGAATTTTGAAGTGATACTGTTGGAGTCGTTCAAGCCATCTAGCCACTTGTCCTTCGGGATTCTTCATCTGAAAGAGCCATGTGAGGGCTGCGTAATTGGTTCTAATCAGGAATTCGCGTCCATAGAGATACTTATGGAAGTGTTCAACAGCCCTGACAATCGCCAGCAATTCCTTCCTCGTAGCACAGTAGTTCTTTTCGGGTTTCAAAAGTACGCTGCTGAAATATTCGATGACTTTTTCTTCCTTGTCCTGCACCTGTGACAATACAGCACCTATTGCTCGCATCCGTGTCCAAGATGAACATTCCCGATGATTGAGGATAGGACAGAATAGGACTAGAGCATAGCGCGTTCTTCAATCTTTTAAAGGCGGCTTCACATTCAGCCGCCCCATTAAACTGAGACTTCAAATCCATCAGCCTGTGCAGAGGAGCAGCAATATCAGCAAACCCGTTGACAAACCTTCTGTAGTACGTACACAATCCCAAGAAACTGCGGACTTCGTGTTTATCTCTTGGTCTTGGCCAATCGCGAATCGCGTTGATTCTAACTCAGTCTTTAGTTGGTGTTCAATTTCCTTTTTTACTTTTTCATCCATCAAGACCACATTTTCTCCAACAAAATTTTCCACAACCTTCAAATTTGTTTGTATGTCCTTCATTTGTTCTTTAATTCCCGTGATTTCATTTTGGTTTGCTTCCACTTCCATTTGGAATTTTTCACTTAGGCTGGTGATTATGGCATGTTTTTGCTTGTCTATTTTTTCGTCCGTCTTTTCCATCCTTGCATCCATTTTTTCGTCCATTTCTTTGTTTCTTGCCTCCATTTTCTCGTCCATTTTTTCCATTTTCGCGTTGATTTGTTCGCCTCTTGCATCCATTTTTTCCATTCTTGCGCCCATTTCTTCCTTCATTTAGTTCCCCATTTTTTCCATTCTTGTGCCCATTTTCTCGTCCATTTGTGCAAGCATAGCGATGATCTTTTCCTCCATTTTCGCAGTTTGAGCTCTCGTCTCGATAGGCATAAATTCTTCAGAGTTCTTGTCCGATTTGCCCAGATGTCGTTGTAATAAAACCGGTTATTAATTTTAGATCCCACTTCTGACACCAGTGTTACGTTTGACGGGTGAATAATTAATCGGGCGTAGGTTAAAAACTCTACAATTTATTCCTTTAACTCGAATTACACTACTAACTATAACAGCGATAACTTCGCAACTTAAACGCATTCGCTCATTCGACTCTTGACTAAATTATTAATTAATCATTCCCGATGGTGGTCTTTATTTATCCATATTTCGGAGATCCAGCTCTTTCTCGAATTAGGTATTCGCGACTTCCGCTTCCAGGCTTTTCGAACTCCGTTTTACGTACTGTTTTAATCACCTGATCACCCCACATTAGTATTCACTGTACCTATCCAAAGTGATAAACGTGTCCGTGCAAAAATATTGATTACGTCTTCACAAAATTTTTTCTAATTGAGAAACTCACTTGAAACATACGCGTAGCACGTTCCTTTATTTAAACTTATAGAGGTTCTTTTATTACTATTATTACACCCTTGATATTTAAATAACTGTTATGAACGTGAAACCGTCATATGATAACTTTAAAACATCTGCAAGATTTCAAAGCATTCGGGATGCAGATTCAAAATTAAATTGCAAAATGTTGTTTTATATGTAGTTTTGATTTATTTTCGAAAAATCTGGACGTTTCGGGTAAAAACTCAACACGGCGTGATAAAATACATACATAGGACTATGTTATTTTATAGAATTTAAAACCCATTTACTATGTACAATTTTGAAGTGACGTCATCACATTATTAGTGGGGATGATTAGGCAAATTTAGGTTAGCGTTTTACCATCCACACGATATTCCTAATACAAATACAAAATTTCACAATAATCGGTCCAGTACTTTCGGAGATTATCTGTCTAATAAATATCCGGGACGGCAGACAGACGGACAGACGGACAGACAGACGTAAACGAGCGACATATTTCTTCGTCTTCTAGGTGTCATGAAAGGTCGAGAAAATGTAAAAGTAGAGAGTCGGTCAATGGACTCAATTACAATATTTCCTTTGGGAAGTAAAAAGCACCTTTGACAGGATTCGAAACTTTGCAATTCACCAACAAGGTTTCTCTAAATGGCTCGTGAAATATTGTAGATTAATTACAATTACGACTTAAATAATACAAGTTTGGAAACGTTTATATAAGGAATCCAAATAAATTTATTTTCAGTTCAGAGACATCCGTCATACGTGCAGTTTAGTTCATCATTTAAGTCCGTTATTATCGTGTTTTCCCAATAAGCTGTAATTATTTAAGTAAATAATTGTAAAGTAGAATTAAGTGATACATGTGAATAATCAATAATCAATACTCAAATCATAAATAAGTAATCAGTGTTAGAATAGGAATTGTGAATAAAAATTAAAGTTCATTTTAAAAACAGGTTTATTTATCAATAAACTTAACCAGCAGTTAATTTTTGTTATAATTGGGATTTTGACTTATATTACATAATACCATAACACAAACTGACTTTTAAAACAGTCAAGAATCGACTGTTGTATTAATACAAAATACAATTATTTTTTTAATATTTATTTGTCTTATCTTATTCAGTTAATGGATGCACTAAGTAATTAAAATTCTAGCAAAAACAAGTTTGCATTAATTCGTTATAAAACCGCATATACCGCAGGATTCAATTTTTCCATAAAAAAAAACAAATTTTTTCATTCGAATTTTTATGCAATATTTAAATCTGTCAAGGCGCACATATTAACAAGTTTTTTTTACTATTTGAACTAATATCTATATATTTGAAAAAAGTAGTTGATAACAAGTAGTGTGCGAATACCTTGACCTGGAATGTCATCGACTTTCTTGCACAATTCTCCAAAACAACAATCTTAAGTTTAATTACAATGTTTCTTATTGTCAAATGGAAAGTGATCAATCCGGTTTTTAATCCACAAATTTTAAATTCGTTTTATCCGATTTTATTTAAGAATCTATGTAAATAAGTTAATTAGAGCTTCAGAAACATACTACGGAGAAAATGTTATTTTATTTTATTTTATTCTATTATGTCTCCAACAGACCGGAGGCCCAATTACAGGAGACAGGACAAACACAACACCCAGAGGCAGGGCGGGAATAGAACCCACGACCCAAAGTGTGGCGGGGAAGCACACAGAAGAAGTGCTTCCGACAATTTGGTGTTCTACCTTAGATATCGTTTTTAAAGATTTATTTTTGGAAATATTAAAAATATTTGACACCTTTTTGTAATTATTTTTATATTTTATTTTCTTTTACGTTTTCTCGACCTTTCATGACCCCCAAAATACGAAGAAATAGGTCTCCCGTTTCCGTCTGTCTGTCCATCTGCCGTCCTGGATTTTTTAAAAGTAACATTGGGGGCCGTGCATTCAGAACTACTTTCTAGAAGAAATACTAAATTTGTACCGGATATCGTTAGGTATTACATTTTTGTTACATCTTACTCTTGATACTGGACCTTGGTATGTACTTTCAGATTCGAGGAATTACAGAAATTGAAAAAAATTGTAAAAAAAATTTATAAGCAACTTAAGAAAATCATATATTTGGAAACAAATTTGTGTATATAATCGACTCAGTTTCGGTTCACGGAGATTTTGTTTCTAGCATTCCCATCAGAACTATATATTATTATGATATTATAATTATCTTTATAATTTAAAAAGTTATAGTTAAAATCTATATTTTTGTGAAAACTAACTCTTGCGGTTTAGGAAGCAATGTCAATCCACAAATCGGAGAAAAATCCACATCACCAGAGTTACATGCCTCAATTTTAAAATTTTTCACCACGGTAGCAACAAATAAAAACATCATCATTTTTCCTAATTCCTCTCCAACACACATTCTCTTGCCTGAAAACATTACGTTATACTAACTTGTTCACACGACCGCCAATTCGATTTTACCGGTCTGGAAAGGAAGAAATGCTTCTAATTGCAGAAATCTTCCTTCATCGTCTAAAAATCGATCAGGGGAAAATTCTTCAGGATTCTTCCAAAATTTCTGGTCCATATGAATTGCCCACAACAGTGACAAAATCATGCAACCTTTTGGTATCTTAAAATTTTCTATTTGTATATCTTCTAAAGCGTAGTGAGGAAAACCTAATGGTACCACAGTTCGAATTCTAGACACTTCAGAAATAGTGGCATGCGTATACGGCAAATTTTGTAAATCTTCCATTTGTAGAGATTTGTTTTGTAAAACATTATTAAGTTCGTTGCGTACTTTATTTTGCACGTTTTGGTACTTTGCCAGGTACAACAGAATCCAGAATAACGTATTTGAAGTAGTTTCAATGCTAGCACCAAACACATCGAATAGCAAAAACTGCAACTGCTCCGTGTTATAAATTTCTTCAGAGTCACACTTTAATTTCTGCTGAAAAAATGCTTCGATGAGGTTTAAATATTCGTCCTCAGAGTTATTAGAAGAACATTTTTCTGCCATTTCGATACATTGGTTTTGAATATGATGAACGTCCTCAACATATTTAGTAAGTGAAGAAATTGTGTGTTTGTACTGTGGAAGGAATCTGAAAGTACATAATAATAATAATACAAGAATTGTAAGTTTTTTTCGGCTGACCGTAAAAATGGTAAAAAATTTATAGGACCTCCAACAGCTAGTAGCTTTGTAACTTTATCATAGCTGTCTAACAAAGTTTTTCGAATTTTGTCCCCTCGGTTAAATGATTTTCCTAGAAACATGGTACTGGCTACACTAATTACATAATTTCCTATAGCTTCTGATGGATTCAGATTTGTTTTTTCTCCTTGACTGTTTAATAACTGTGAAAATAAGAAAATGTGTAATATTTTAACAGTGCTTAAGTAAGTGTAAACTTACTTCCATAAATTCTTCTACATATTTTTTTATAATATTTTCTAATGTTTTCTTTTTTGATGAAAATTTGGCTGCACCCGATGTCCTTAGAAAATTACTTACAAATTTACGTTGATCCCTCCATAAGTGCATAGGTGCATACGCAATTCCTATTTTAATAAAAAGGTTTTACACATAAGTTTAATAATATTTGATATACTGTAACCTCATTCGAGATGGACCAACTTTTATGACTGAAGCGGCTTAAGCCAAACCACCATTATAAGTCAACCTGGCTATTGTATTACTTAACTCAGTTCACAGCTACATTATGCCAACAATGGACAGTAATAATCTTGCGGTTTGGGTCCACAAAGCTTACAATAGCCAGTTTTACTTATAAGGGTGTTTTGGCTTAAGTCATAAAAGTTTTAACAAGTGTATCTCAAATGAGATTACTATAAGCACTATTTTAAATAACTCACCCTTTCCTTTAAACACACCGCTGAAAACATACATCGGCGGTCTTCCTAATGCCTCGTCTTTAACTAAAATTTTTTTTAATAATTTTGCATCAGAAATAACGACTGCTTCCAGTAATCCTAGTTTAATGCTATAAATAGGGCCATATTTTTGTGCAAGTTCCGTTAATGTCAAGTAAGGTAATTTTGTATCTAGCTTGTGTAAACAACCTAAAATGGGTAAGTTCCATGGCCCTGGAAGAGAGGCAGTTTTTCTGTGAATATATATACACAATAAAAATAAGGCCGTGGTGGCTACTGCAACAAATAGTGCTGTAGTTAACATCTAAAATGAACATATTATACAGTTTTAGTTTTATGCAAGTACAGTACCCACTCACCTTGTGTTTAATTTTAATTTTATAAATAACCCTATTTGTGGAAAGACACTAAGAATTTATTATATACATATACCGAACTGATTTAAAACGGCATACTACATTTGTAATTTTGTACCGAACATCATTTTTCGTTTCACGTAAATTTCTGTGTAACTTACACAAGTCTATGTGTTTATCAACATCGCGCATTATTGTGATTGATCGAATGATCGACCTTATTCTTTTAAGCAAATTATACAAGGTCAAGTGACTCTTTCAAAACCTGTTAAGCATATACTTTTTATTACATATAATGTTGTTAATATCCTTGGAATTCAAGAAATAATCTCAACTCAATTCAATTAAGTGATATTTCATTTTATAATAACTTGGTTTACCCCATCTACCTCGTAAACTCATAATGTTCAGCACTAGAAGTTATAAAATCAATAGGCCCGTCCTAAAGTTGGGTAGGCAATATTAATTTAATACGATACGCGTGATATTACAGCCCTGTAAATCAGGGAAAATATGGGAAATTCCATTCAAATGCAAAGTAAAATTATTCTTCTTTAATATTATTATTTTTTGAGGAAGCTGAATTGTCAATTATGTACCAAAAATCTATAATCTTGATCAAATTCATTGTCACTTAAGCATCAACAACGAATGAAGTGGGATATTAATAATAATAACAATAATAATCAAACTACATATTTTAGTATACTGAGGTGCTACAGATTCAAAAATTGATCGAGGGTTGTTTCGACAGAACTTTGCGCATTTTCTAAAAATTATGAAATTTGATTTTGCGAATTTAATTGGTTTTTTTAATGAGAACCCCTATGAGTTAAGATAAAATAGACTCCCATAGTTAATTCGTTTTACAGCCTTTTTCGAACCATAGCTTTTCCAAGAAATTTGTACCTGCCTGCCAGACTGGGTACAGTAAACTTCGGATTTGCTCTGACAGGTTCTTTATCTGTACAATAAAATTGGCGAAAGGGCTGTAAAACGAATTAATTTTATGGGAGTCCATAAAATTCTTACAATTCTAGACAAACTTTACAATGCTTATGACCTTTGGTGAGGATTGGTTAGGAAATCCTATTGTATGTTTATAGACACTACTTAGAAAGTTAGAGCCATAAAAACGGAATATCCTCAGACAACCTATAGGTACCTGTGTACTGAAAATTTTCAAAATGCAGGAACAAAATATGTATTTGATTGATCATAAACTTGTCATTTACAACGTGAGATAGAATAGCGCATGAAATTTCGATCTTAAAAAAGTAACATTAACCCCGACAATAAAAAAATAAAATTCGCAAAATCTCATTTTATAATTTTTGGAAAATGCTGGAAATGTTTCGTTGTGTGTATTTCAAGGACGAAGAAAGTTCTGTCGAAACAACCTTCGGCCAATTTTTTATAGAAAGTGAAAAACTCTCGGAGGCCCCTTCTATGGATTTTTTTATGAATCTTAAGAAATATCAGGGGCCCCTTGTGCCATTATTTTAAATAACTAGCGAATGTCAAATTTTGACTTGATTCGGGTATTTTTAGGCTCCACTCTACAAGTTTGTTGTGGGGGTAGTTTTTAACGGTTTCTCCGAACGGATTGAAATTTTGAATCAACAATCTTGGTATTGAGAAATAAGCAAATATCGAGTTTTAACTTGATTGAAGCATTTTTAACCCTCAGTCTGCAAGGTTGTTTTAGGGGTGATTTTTGAGGGTTTCTCCGAATGGGGTGAAATTTTGCATCAATAATCCTCGTATCGACAAACTAGCGAATGTCAAATTTTGACGTAATTAGAGTATTTTTAAGCCCTAGTCTGCAAGGTTGTTTTAGGAGTAGTTTTTAACGGTTTCTCCGAACGGGTTGAAATTCTGTATTAACAATCTTCGTAATGATAAATAAGCAAATCTCGAGTTTTGACTTGATTGGAGTATTTTTAACACCCAGTCTGCAAATCTTTTTAAGGGTGGTTTTTAAGAGTTTCTGCGAACGGCTTGAAATTTTGACTCAACAATCTTCGTACTGAGAAATACGCAAATATCGAGTTTTGACTTGATTGGAGCATCTTTAACCCCCAGTCTGCAAGGTTGTTTTGGGGATGATTTTTGAGGGTTTCTCCGAATGGGTTGAAATTTTGCATCAATAATCCTCGTATTGAAAATCTACCGAATGTCAAATTTTAACTTAATTAGAGTAATTTTAAGCTCCAGTCTGCAAGGTTGTTTTGGGGGTAGTTTCTAACGGTTTCTCCGAACGGGTTGAAATTTTGTACCAACAATCTTCGTATTGAGAAATAAGCAAATGTCGAGTTTTAACTTGATTGGAGTATTTTTAACCCCCAGTCTGCAAGATAAACTGTGGTCTGCAAATCAGAAACGCCGGATGGATTATTTTCCATGCGTTGTTGAACAACATCCAACACTTCATTGGTACATAATGTTGGTCATCCAGCACATGTTTTGTGGTGGACACTTCCCGTTTCACCAAATACTCGCACAGTGTTTCTAACAACGTTGTAAAATTTAAAAACGAGAAAGTAAGTCTGAAAATTTTTGCTCGAACTCTTGTAAAACATCACCATTGTTCTAATGCCATTCTCTCTCAATTTGGTAGATAACCGAATAAATTTTGAATAACGATTTACCGTGATTACGATAACCTTAAAACGTTTGTCAGAGCATGCGGTTTTGCAATTTCCAAGTTAAACTGCAAAATGTTGTATAGTTTTGATTTTTTTTCCAAAAATCCGGATACCTAGAGTGGAAACTCAACACGGAGTCGTACCCCACAAGGCGTACTTTTTTTTATAAAATAAAAAAAATATTCTAAATTTTGGAAATAACATCATCGCATTCGTGGTGAGTTCTACCATCTACATGATATCCCTGATACACATACAATTCGGCAAAAATCTGTCACTAGTTTCGGAGATTATTCTTATTTTAATTTGTCCTGTTTGTTTGAACCGTACCCTAAGTATCAAAGGATTCGGAGATTTGAAAGAGTTGGTCGATAAGGTTGTGCGAAGTTTGATATCTCCAGGCAGGAAAGTAACCGATTCTTGTGCCTCTCATCAGTGTTACAGCTGCCAGAAAGTGACGTTAACTTTTTATTATAGTAATTGGAACCAAAAACGATTTTTCTTAAGTATTCTTATTAAATAAAACAAAAGTCATGCTTCTAAATTGTATTGCCTCTAAGTCCATTCAAAACATTTTCAGCTACAAATTTTCGGAATCTTTTTAATTAACTGGGCCATGTATATCGATCCTGTCACTGAATTTAATTGTAACATCTTGGACCCTCATGTTGGGAGTTAAGAACTCCTGGAGAGTATCTACTCCGTTTCTAGGCAACCTGTCGAACGGGTAACCCATGGCACGGCGATCTGGGTACATCTTGTTCTTGATACCACAATAACTTCCAGCGTCGTTGCACGTTTCTCCGAGTTCTTCTGCGACCTTGTCGTCTTCATAATTGGAGATCATCACGAAGAGCTGGGAGGCGAAACCTTCCGGAGTCCCCTTAGGGATCAACATGTGGTGGGGCCATCCACAACCACAGAAGTTGAACTCAGCTGAGGACTCTTCTTCTTGGAATTTACGGAACGTTTTTTCGAAAGAAATGGTCACTGTGGACTCATGGTCCTCGCGGCTGTAGATTTTCTGGCCTCTCTCCACTACAAACCCAAACAGATATTAAAAATGGATTACTTAATCTGAAGACTTACAGTCAATCGTAAATTTATCTAACTCGATAAACATGATCTTCTGATCCCTGAACGACCACGGCTTTCCCGTTTCGTCATACTTTGGCGCCAAGAAGATTCTGCAGGTGCCTTTTTTGTTAGAGTTGGAGTGGTTGTTGACGGTGATCTTGTAAGTGAAGGGCTGGTGCTGCAAGTGCTTGAATCTCCAGTAGATGGGTCCTTTGGTGTCGAAGTCCAATCCTTTAGACAAATCCAGATCTGTTTTTTGCCAAAACGTGCTGAAAGTGTTGTTAGGACTTTGGTGCGACTGCACTTCGATCGCGCTCACGGTGATACCAGGATAGTTGAGCTGGCTTTCGCTGTAACGCGGCAGAGTGGCTTTATATTCTTGGAACATGTCGTCGATATATGTGTGCCATCTATAGAAAACTGGATCCCGCATAGCCATCGCCGAATCACCCATGACACCTAAAGATTTAAGGTGACGATTATCCGGGTCGTGGATGTTCCCGATGAAGTCGTGACCTGTGTTGTGGAGATCCCCATAGAGGGTGCGGTTATGCGACAAAGCGCTGGACTCGATTATGTTACCCAAAATGTCGATACCTTTGCTTTCAGTGAGGCTGATAAGGCATCCGCGTTCCTAAAAGTCTTATTGTCAGTCTGTGCATGACGGTTCTTGGAGTTTTACTTACGTCGATTACGCTCCCGTGGTGAATGGCGGCGTAAATCTGGTCGCTCCACTTCTTCAACTCGTCAACGTAGCGCTTGTCCTCTTCTCTGTCCAAATCCTGGAATTTTTGGTTGGCAACCCGTGCCGCGTACGACATGCCCGTCTTCAAGGTCCCCAGCTTCGGGAAATAAGCTTCCTCTATTTCCTTCGTCCAATCCAACTTCTTGGTCTTCTTCAAGTCGTTGCACAATCTTTCATAGTTGTATCTCGCGATGACCTGCTGGTGCATATAGTAGAACAGCTCCCCTCTACGATCCTTATCAACGATTTTCTTAGTGGCCTCCACTTGGGCTTCAGTTTTGTCCTCCAAGTCGCTGGTGCCATGCGGATACACCAAGTGCCAGTGCCAGTGATGCAGGTTGACTCCCATATCTTCCCTGAAATACATCAGCCGGTGCTCCACCTCTTTGTCGGACACCTCCTCGGTCACCTCGATGGGCTTTCTTGAGTTCTCAGATATCAAGATCGCCTGATCCTTCAGCTCAGCCAGTGCCTTGGCGTCCACGAACTTGTCTGGGAAGAATTCCACGAATGTCGGCACCGCCATATCCTTGGTGTCCGGTCGGTGCAGCATGGCCACCGTCAGCGCGTAGTGGAACAGGTAGGGATTCAAGCAGTCCCGGGCGCACATTGCTGTGAACAAGAGGTGGTCTAAGTCGGGCATATTCCAGAAGATGTCAATGAGTTTGCCAGCGAGCCTGCGATGCTTGGGAATGAACAGCGAAAAGTTTTCATCACGCTTAAGTTCGAGAATTTCATCAAACGAAGGAATGGGCGTCCTTTTGACTTCGACGAGCTCTTCGGCGTTTTTGTCAAAGCTGTTGCAGTGACTGACTCCTAAACACTTGTAACGTGGGTTGACTTTGAGGTATTCTTCGCACACTTTGAAAGCAGTTTTCTTGGGGCCCTTGGCGATGAAGACGGGCTGGTGGGGTCGCTCGAAGAGGAGGTGGAAGTTTCTCTTGAAATTGGACATCGTCGCGTAGCTAAAGAATTATTTTTGTTATTTTTATTTTTTAAAAATGCAGTAATGTACAAAATAGACTTATTTAAAGTATGCAACCAACAGTACACGATTTATTCATATACCGTGAGTTTTTTTTTTATCTGAACATAGGAACAATGTTAAGTTGGTTGCATACCTGCTTGTAACAGATTGACCTGAACTTTTAAAAACTGAACATAAATATCTAATCGAGATTTAGGATATGTCAAAGATATTGCCATTGACATTTGGCACTACTGTCTCCATGTTAAGGATTGTAATAAGTACAAGTTTAAAGAACAGAAAATTTACGTTATCGACCTTTTTAAAAAAAATTCGTCAAAAATTTTACTGTAAATGTCATCGTTGACATGGCCTACTCCTCAATTATTACGAATCTTATGTGATCTTATGTTCAGTTTTTAAACCCAACATACATACACGACCCCTATGTTCAGAGAAAAAAAAATTCACGGTATATGTACTTATTATTTATTTATTACCGACTTGTGTTTCTTTACAATCAGTTTTTTATTTTTATTTAGTATTGGGAGAAATTCCCTGCTCCACAATTATTTGTTTCTCTGACCTCAGGGCCTTCAGAGGAAATTTTGAAAGCGCCAAGGAAAATAAGGAATTCTTGTACGAGTACTATCGACCTTTTTTTAAATATTTCAATGTGCTATTAAAAGAGTCTGAAATTCCTAATATATGAAATAGTTATTTATGTATTAAGGGCATAATTAGGGAGATTATGCCACAAGGGAATATTTTAAGTCCGACGACGGATGGTTTTTAATTTCCTGAGTGCCACAATTGACAATTATGCCCGTGGTACATACGTTTTATTCTATTTTAGTTTTCAAAATATTTTTTGTTGCCGATGCGAATTGTAATATATACATAGCTGGCTATTCTTTTGGTGCCATGGACACTACGTTGTTTGTTTGTTAAATAATTCGATTATAAAATGCAAACTGAAGAAGCGGAAAACGTTTATTCAAAAGTTAAAATTTAGAAAATTCATTTTAATCAGAATTGAAATAGAACGTGTTTTTAAATGTATAAATTTGAAACAGAAATCATTTTCATGCGAAGAAAAATGAAGTAACTAAGGTATCCAATATTTGTATGTTATTCTAAAACTAAAATTATTTACAAATCTAGCAAACATTTTGCTGTTTACACTCTTTTTATGCAATACTGAAAATACTTTGAAAACAAGGCAATAGTTTAGTTGTAAGTACCATCGAAAATTTTTAAAATCATTTGAAAATGTTAGAAATTGTTAAATTTTGTATGCAGTTTTCATAAATTTAAAAATGTAGAAATTTGAAGATCACAGTAAATATGTATAAATTAAAAACTATATCAACTTGTGAACGCACACAATAGAAAAAAATTTAATCGAACAATACTTTTAAATCTACTGATTTTTGGCAGTATTGTGTAGACGCAGTAACTATAAACTAAGAATTAAAATAAAAATCAAAAATACTCACATTACAGCAAACTTTGCCCTTTAATGTGGTGAAGATCACAATAAATTACGATATGTTATTACACGAACAATATGCAGAAGTATGAGGAACATATCAATTCCGACGATATATATTGAAAAAAAATATCTTCCTTATTTACATTGAGCATTTCAGAAATCCGCTAGGATTAGTTCAGATTACGAAGAATCCGGGCTGTGGCCTCTAGTTTCAAAAGAATTGGCAGTACGAAAGAGGGCGCTTCAATTCCAAGGACGGAGTTAAGACCTCCCCACTACTGAAAAAAATTCTAGCCAATAATTCCGAGGAGTCAAGGAATTTTCCTCCTCGAACATAAACTCGGAGGAATGTTTTTTGACAAAACGTTGTCGCATACAAAATTTTCTCATAAAATGTACTGGAGTAAAAAGTGAAACTCATAAAAAGTCCCACAGAACGTTTTTGCGTGAAAGCTGTTAAATGTACGAAGATTAAATTAGTCGTTTGGGTTAGTTACGAACTGGTCGCTCCCAGAATATTTTTTGATGTTGTTCACGATATTCTATTTAAAAATTACTTTCGGTATGTTAAAAAAGTGTAACATTTAACATTAAAAATTGGATAGCTACTGTCTGGAGGCAGTAACGATACAATATTTTTCACTTTATTTTTTAATATCAACGCAATTTGTGATTGAGAGTAATGGAGTAGCTTTTTAACATTTACCGAATCTGCAGAAATTTGCAGTTATTAAATTAACACTAAATAGCAAAAAAAGTAATACTTGAAGTTCTTGTCAATTTAGCAAGTAGATAATTCATTACCATATTACAAAAAAATGCCACAAATCATAAAAATATTTTTTTTAAAGAGGTGCAAGATCCTGTGGTCTTATTAGCCGACACATGTTAACTAATTAATTACATATAAATTAATCTTTCACTTACAAATTATTAAATTCGAATTATTTAGGTATAGTAACAAATGTTGTACAAAAAATTATTTGCACACTTGAATTTAGCCCCCACATTAATTATTATTAATTAATTACAGATAATCATATAAATAAACAAATGATAAAGTGGAACTGCTATTACTAGAAATCATTCGTTATCGTAACTATGCTAAATCGCTAATCAGAATTCATCTGTTTATAGCCACCAAAACCCTGATGACATCTCAGAACTTAGATAAGTACATTTTGCTTGGAATTTTTTATGGTGTGATATTTTTTATTTATTGTTTCATAATGTATCCCTACATAATGTTAATGATATCTGCATATGCAGGTTATCCTAAAAAAATATTTTCTAAAAAAAATTAATTTAAAATTTATAACGCATTTTTTTATTGTTTTGAGAAGACACTAACATTGATTAAATGTTTTCAAAACGACTAAAATGTATTTCTACATAGAAAGATATACTCCTAACAAATATCGTGCATTTATTTAAATTTCTGATCTAGGCAGGCTAGGCTTTAGAACCGTATGTACATGTGATGTTACAATAAAAAAATATATAAGAATAAAAAACAAATTCCTCTATTTTCCTTCTAAAGAAATACTGTTAGCGTTGGTGGGGCTGACAAAATTTTTTAAACAAATGACTAGGGACCTTAAACGTCAATTTAAATATTGTCATTGTAATTTCACCGCGACGGAATGCAAACGAATTTTTTGATTTTTTGATCCGAGCTAATCGTAAATGATTGCCTAGCAAGACAAGAACTCTCTCCTGATCTTTCCAAATCTGCAGTATGCAGACTAGCAGCTAGAATAAATTTATGGTATTTAAGATCCCACATTTTATTCCTAATCTACGTAACAATCTCCTCATATCCTTAGTGACGGTAGGTGCAAAATACAGGGTTTCTATAAATGATTATAGAGTAGAAGTAGGTCATGAACACGCATCTGTATAACTGGTTGCCTAAATGCTTCATATCTGTTAAAAAATTAAACTAATTTATTACAATAAAAAGAAACAATTTATTGCGGTTAAACATCACAGTAAATGTTGAAAATGTTCATCATTTTCTTCAAGGCACATGTTCACTCTCTTTTCAATTTCAAAAATGTTCTGTAATCCTTTCGTCAGTGCCCATTGTTCATCTTCAACGGGAACTCCTGACTGCTCAGGAAATTTTGTCAAAGATGTTTGCGAATCCTGCTCAAGTCGTCTCAAATCATCAACAACTTCCTCAATACTGAAGGTCTTCCACGAGATTTCTCGTTGTTGACACTGTCAGTTCGAACAAATTTGTTGATTACATCTCTAATGTGAGCCTCTAACGATGTTTCTTGAATTATTAAATCACGGTAATTGCCAGATATTCATGCTTACAAGCGGTTACAGAATACACATACTCTTCGTTTGCGAAGTTTTGAAAACGACTGTTTTATTGTTTTGAGCTTGGATCAACGAGAATTACTGTAATTCACGCTTGAAAAACGTTAAAACAATAAAAACGACGACTTTAAATGACAGTTACAAATGACATTAATGACAAGTGAGAACTCTCACGATGAATTAACGAAGCATAATTTCAGCGAAGCGGGATTTTTGAAATCCATGACCAACTACAGTTCCTAATAAATGTTTGTTCATTGTAGCATTATTTATATAGAAATTCTTACTGAACAAAAACTAAGGATATTAGTTGACTAATTTTATGACAGACTGTGCTGATTTACTGCTACTTTCCATGTGTAAAACACATTTTTGGTGTACTCAATAGAAAAGCGCCATTTTGTTTTAAGGAAAAAGTAATAAAGAAAAGTGCCACTTTTCGCGTTAGTAATACTTTTTCAGTTAACAACTATCCAGCATCATTGTCTCATCTGCTTAATTTAATTTTTTTCTTCTTCCCCATTCATTAAAGCAATTATTTGTAACACGTTTCATATTTGGCTTACGATTTCGCAAGTAGTATAGACTAATTATATTTGACATCATTATGTAAGGAGTTATTTGGCAAAATTTTGAGATGACGTAATCAATTTTTTGAGGAAAAAGTAGATACATTTTGATTAAAAATTTAACGTGCTTATAATAATTTCAAAACGTGTGCAAGATTTCAAACCATCTGGTTTTGCAGCTCCCGATTTAATGAATAAAATAAAATGACTTTAAAAAGTCCTGAATCTTCTATGATTTTACTGTTGTGAAGAATGTATTAATTATGTTCTCAAAATTAAAATTTGTACACAAAATAATTTTCCTGTTTTGTTAACAGTGTTTATATTTATATTTGTATGTTTGTATCCGTTGATGCAATATATTTGTTCTGTTGTTATCTACATACATATGTCAAGTGTGACAAGCCCAAACAAATATTTGTGAAGCAATAAACTGGTTTTACCTGCAATTGCATTTGATGCCATAATGTAGTAGTTTGTTTGAACTTTTATATTAAATAATCCGCAAATCGCTTCGACCGTGACCAAGTTTTGTCACTCTGAGGAACTATGATTTTAAATTAATTTATAAACATAATTGTTCTGGTCGGTTGACAAAATCTTCTTCGAAATTCCTTGTTTTGTAGATAACTCATTCGGAAGCGCAAAAATACGGCACATTATATATCACAAAAATTTGGTGATTTTTAATTCCTTGTATTTTCATTTGTCACTAAATTTACTATCAATATCCTAGTTTGATTCTAGTGAAACAGCATAATTCCGTTGTAAATAAATTTGTAGAGGAAAAATCTATCTATCTATACGAGATTCATGCAGGAGCTGTAGTGCAATGTCTCAGTAAACAAAGAGATTTTGTTGCCTCTTTGAAATTAATCACAATTATTTAACAGAAGTGACAGGCTTTTGACATTGTAGTTTTTTTTAATTTTTACCATTAGATTATTTTCGTGTAGTTACACTCTGTTGTTAAATGTTAACTTCATTTCTACATTGCTCTTTCAATATTTTTAAAACAAATTTTTTGAAGGGCAATTTGCCTAGTAAAGCTTTTTTAAGGGTAAGGCGTACTGTAGAAATTTCCGATTTTTACATTTTATTCTGTTTTTGTTGTAGAAGTTCTGTTGATAGGCACCTGTTGAACAATTTAGAGCTAAAAAGGTAAGAGCCGGTTTACAAAGATCAGTTAAATATTTGATTAGGATTAAATCTTTAATATTTTAATAATGCGTTCAAGTACCACGTGATCGACTCTACCCCAATTAGAATCGTTAAACACCTCGACAACCTTGTGAGATTAACTTAATCTCAGTTAAAATATTGTATAAACCGACCCTAAATGTAGTTGTTGAACGAACCAGTTTTAACAAAAAAAAATATTCAGTTGGACAAATTATTGACAATTACGTATTCTTTGGGGCAAAACACCTTCATCATCGTGTTCTATTATCGGAAAGGTACGGTTTATTCAGTCAGTGCCTCTAAAAAGAGTAAGTACTCAGCAAAATTTACTGATGAAAATGATACTGAACACACAGCCGTGGTTGGCAGATTTGTAAAAACTGAAAGCGTGAATAAAGGCAAATCACTTTAAAGATTTTTTTCTAAACAACACTTTTATTGTAAAAATAAAATTATATCTAAGAGCATCATTTTTACAAGCGGCAAAATTTTTTAATCTAGAATGATCTTTTTCCAACGAGTACCTACTGGATGTATGAATGATTTATAGACCCTCTATTACAATTACAATGTTACCATCTGGCTTATTCACTGATAAGAAAAAAAAATAGATGCTTCTCCAGGGGGATTATTTAGTTATGAATTTGTAGATTAACAACAGAAACTGAGTGTACATTTTCTACAGGGATAAAAAACAGATTCAAAAAATTGGTCGAAAATTCCATTTGTTCATAATTTAGTTCATTATTGTACTATAAATAGTCGATAATGATAAAGTAAATTGGAGTTAATTGTCAAGATGTATATTTGTTAAATTTTTAATAAGAATTGTCTAAATTTAGTGACCAACTTTTGCACATGAAATTATTTTTTTATGCAGATTTACTTTGACTTGCAATGTTACTTTTAATTATATCATACTTGCTATGCTTATGCATGGTTTATTTTATTTATTTATTTTTATTTCCGTATCGGCGACGAGGGTTTCATTTTCATTTGGAAAAATTCTATGCTGTCGAACTTTTGTCTGACTT